CGTACTGCAAATCTGAAGGCCAGTCCTCTATTCCAAATGCTTTCATTATTGTATAGTTTGCTAGGGCTGCCATAACCAAATACCACAGACCAGGTGGCTTAAACAATAGACATCAATTTTCTCAGAGTTTGGAAGCTGGAAGTCCAAGATCAAGATGTTGGCAGGTTTGGTTTCTGCTGAGGTTTCTCTCTTGGCTTTGCAGATGGCTGCCTTCGCCCCAGTATGTCCTCACATGGCCTCTCCTCCGTGCACCCCTACCCTCTCTTCTTATTACTAGGACAGCAGTCCTGTTGAATTAGGATCTATCCATATGACTTCATTTGAACTTATTTACCTTTTAAAGACCTTGTCTCAGCATACAAATTGAGACAATTTGTATTGTCTCAACCAGGGTTTGAGTTCCATCTGAGGGATGGATCACATATAATGGGCATTTTCATTATTTTCAGTAACTCATAATGGCATTTTATACAGTGGGGAATCTCTCTAGGTTCAAATTCCCTTATTCTTTAATGTCCACAGCTCTTATCATTGAAGATTTTCTTCCTTTGCTCAATGTACTTCTGAGTTTCTTTGACTTTTTCTTTCTGCCTGTTATTTGCCTGGGAGATTTCATCTACCTTCATGACTTTGGTCACCCCCTCTGGAGATAATGACTCTCACATTCACACACCCAATCCCCTGATGCCAAGGTTACATATTCAACAGCAAAGGTCCATGGTATTCGTGGTTCTTGTACCAGTAGCTTCAATATCGTCTGAGTGTTTCATTGAAATGTAGAATCTTGGGTTCCACCCCAGAACTATTGAATTGAATCTACATTTTGGCAAGATCTCCAGATGATGTTACACAGAGTTGGTCTGAAAGTAGCATTGTACTTGATTGCTCTTTCTGTACATTCCAAAGAAATCACAAACCCCGAACATGAGAGTAGACTTAATTATTAATTAGTGTTAACTCATTCATTAATTTAATTACTGATTATTGAGCTTTCTATATGCCTTCACGACTGTTTTAAGATCTATATTGATGAGAAGAATCACACACACACACACACACACACACACACACACACACAAGCCTCTGCCTGCCCGAGTCTTTTATTCTAGACTGGGAGACGGATAAGAAACAGTAAAACATAATAAGTAAGTACGTGACATGCTAGACTAGACAGTGATATGTGCCACAGAAAGATGAAAATGTTGAGCAGGAGAAGAGCAATCCTAAGTATAGCGTGGGACATTGAAAGCATTATATTTCCCTTCCTTTATTTCTTCTCTCAGTGAATAGTACTGAGATAATCATCCCCTCCGTCACCTCAGGGAGGTTGAGAAAGACAATTAGGAGTTATATTAAAACTTTTACTTTTACTGTCAAGTCTAGATTCCTAATGTCTTTCAAATCTAACACTTTTCATGATATTCACTGACAGGTGTTTTCTTCTCATCCTCATATTTTTTCCCCCTGAGTCTTGGTTATAGCCCACTAAGTGACCTCACTGACTTTCTATGTATTTCCACAACACTGTCATGAGGCCATCACTCGCCTGCTGGAAAACTTTTAATGCCTTCCATTGCCTTCTGAATAAAACTGAAACAGTTTTTTGATGATCAATAAGGCTGATTACAAACTGGCCTCTTCCTACCTTTTAACTAAAGCTCTTATAAGCTCACTCCCCACTTGCTAAACTGCATATGAGTCTTTGAACACAATATTCTCTTTCCTCTTTAAGTTTGCTTATTGTTTTTTGTTTGTTGTTGTTTGCTTTTTTTTTTTTACATGAAACACTGAAGTAGTATCTTGTTTATACAATTTCCTGATTCCTTCTCTGTCTTCAAAGGTGGCACTGTTAACACTGTGTTGTTATTGTGGGTTTTCACTAGATAGTGCATTCTTAGAAGGTAGGGACTGTCTTGTTGAGCTATAGTGCCAACACAGAGGTTGGTACTCAATAGTGTTTAGTAGTTTGTGACAAGTAACTGATAGCTGTTGCCTATAGAACGAGTGGAAATCTCTAAGGATATGATGCTTTCAGATGGAGCTCATGCAAAAGCTTGAAGGTCTGTTTGGGGAACAGCAAGTCTCTCACTTTTGTGGAAGCCCAAAGTATGGTTTGGGTTGCTGCCAAAATGGAGGTGAGAGGGTGCCTTATACGCCTTTCCAAGAAATTTGGATTTTATGCTGTAGAGAAGAGAGAGCCATTGATGGCTTTAAGCAAGTGAGTGACGTGGCCTGGGCATATCAGATTTGAATTTGAAGAGGTGGATTTCTTGGAGGATGAGGGGTGATTGTTAAGGAAGAGGTTAGAGGTATGCAGTCATTCCAGAGAGATGATAAGGGCTCAAGGAAGGCAGTGAGAATAGCATTGGGAAAGAGGACTAGCCAAGAAAGATGTAAAGCTTTTCCCAATATGATCTGTTGGTTGTGAGGCACCATTCACCAAGATTGGAGGAGGAGGTTTGGGGTCCGTAAGAAATTCCCATTCAGTTTTATCCCGGCAATTTGGCGGTCTCAGCATTCCAGTCATTTGTGCGAGGGCTGTTCATTTCTGGAAGAATCTTTGATGCCAAACAGGTGATCATTTTAGTGAACGGAATTCAGGACAGGAGTCACTATCATCTTTCCATTTATTAAACCCCACCCCTCTAGGAAGGAATCAGTTGGCTTCATCCATTATGTTTTAGTAGCTGCATCATGAGAACTGGTATTTGTTCATGCATTCCAGTTAGCAGGAATATGGCCCTCGTGGGACTTATTTTCTAGTTGATCGAAACTAACTTAAAGTATAAATAATTATAGGGGCGCCTGGGTGCCCCTATCAGTTAAGCGTCTGACTCTTGATTTCAGCTCAGGTCATGATCTCAGGGACTTAAGATCGAGCCTGGCATTGGGCACTGTGCTGGGCATGGAGCCTGCTTAAGATTCTTTCTCTCCCTATATAATATGTTTAAAAAAAAAATGAAATTTATAAAATTAAAAAAAAAAAGATTCTTTCTCTCCCTCTCCCTCTGCCCCTCCTCTAAAAAAAAGGTATAAATAAGTATAAGTGAGTGGTTACAGTATACTTTGGGGGGGGGATTGAGTATAATTTAGAAGTCAGACTTATACTTCCAGCAGTCCTGTTGTTATTACATATCTAGTCAAGCTTTGCTAAAAATTTGGTGAAATAGTCACCAAACATTTTCTGTGGAAGCTTCTGATCTCTCTGATTTCAGATGTTACATATTTGAAAATGACATTTATCCTTCCTATAGATTAGAAGTTACTTAAACTCCAGCCATTTCCACAAAGAGTTCTTTGGAAACCACTAAGAGAGAGAATTTTAAAATTAATAAAGTTGAACATCAGTGCTGTCAAAGTAAGATTAATTTTTTTTTATTTGCTCGTTTCAGCTATAATTTAGAGCCACCCCTCCTCTTTGATCTCATTTTTAAAGAAGTTGTTTTTAAAATATCAGTCGGAATGCACTCTTATAATTGCTGCATTTTAGCTCCTCAGCCTATGGAGTTCTGGTTTGCTTTCCTTCTCCAGACGTCCAGAGGACGTCTCTTCTGTATTAAGGTAGTGGCTTTTCACTTCATTGTCCAAAACACTGGTTTATGTTACAAAAGTTCAGAAGTATAGTTTTTCGGACTTGGTTTTTTGAAATGTTAGAATTCAGATTCTTAGGACCTCAAAGCTTTGATTTTAAAACTTGAACTATTGGCTTTTTAAAGTAAAAAGCAAACTACTTTCTTTGTTGAATTTTCCCTTCCCATAATTAATGGGAGAAAGAAATGTAGTATGAGAGGAGAGGGGAAAAAACAGTCCATGTATTAAATAATATTCCTTACAACAACTTTTATTTTCATGCTTTTTAAAACATGTTACATATTTGAGTTTTTTCATATTTAGTGAATGATGTAGGAAAGATGTTAGGGTTTGAAGTTAATAGCCAAGAAAAAATTCTTGAGATGTCTTTGGTGCAGAAGGGCGGTTTTATTAAAGCATGGGAACAGGACCCTTGAGCAGAAAGAGCTGCACTGGGGTCATGAGGAGTGGCACATTATGTATTTTCAAGTTGGGAGGGAGTTAGGGATAGCACGTAAGTCTCCCAGGTATTTTGGAAGCAAGGGTTCTAGGACCTTGAGGGGACGAGCTGTTGTTGGGAAAGTGCCATTTATTGCTGTCTAATAAAATCTGAGTCGTGAGACCCTTCAGATGTATATCATATGCTTGGGGGATGATTGCGAACATGTATCTTGTTGGGTAGAGATAAAGGAAGTTTCCAAAGGAATTCTTATGTGTTAGAAGAGACTTAACAGGATCCTTGGGGTTGGGCTAAGATAGTCTGTTGCCCTTAGCAAAGTATTAACATAGAGGCAGTTGAGTCCCTAGAGGAAGGTCACTCTGCCTATGTCAAGGACTTGTCAATGGGCTGTAGGTAGGGAGAAAATTTAATAATTTTTCTTCTGCCTCTACTTCCCACATCAGTGGAGACATTTTATTTTAGCTTGTTATACACCCAAGAGAAGACCCAAATAGGAAAACCACCCAAGTTTAATAGACTTTTAATCAGTAAGCAATCGATTAGTTGTTAAAAGCCTCTGACATTTCTGTCCAGAAAAGTGAGTAGTTAATTTTCCTGTGATTTAGATGGCACAGCTAGCAAAGGCTTTTAGGGATACTACACATACTACGTAAAGTGGGGTGTGTGTGTGTGTGTGTGTGTGTGTGTGTGTGTGTGTGTACTCTTCACAACTTCTTGGACCTGAGTTATATAAAATTCATACCCTGTGAAAACTTGGACTCAAAAGAGTAAACTTGAGTACCAGCCTTCTTTCTTAAAAAAAAGTATAGTATTTATCTTGATTGTTAGAAAAGTATTGAGAATATCTAAAAAATAAGCAGTAAAATTTAAAAAGTTGCATTCTATATATCATTCATAACAAATTATGCCATTTATACCGGCATTTATTATGGTTGTTGGCTTTAATTGTTTTCTTTGTTTTCCCATTCAGAGAATTTATCAACAGCCTTCGACTGTACAGAACGTTCTACGGAGGCCTGGCTGATGAGCTTTGTGTTAACGAATTAGCTGCTGTTGATGGGCTGCCGTGCTGGAACGGGGAAGACATAGTAAAAAGGTATTTTATGTGTTGTGGTCTGCGAAAACGTCATGGCTCCTTTCATCCTTGTTTTCTTTTCCCAGGCCTTGAATGGACCACTTCAGTTTTAACTTTGCCCCACAGGTTAGACTCTATATCAATTTCTTCTCTTTAGTTGGTTAGAAATAAATTTGATCCTTTTTGGCATTTTGGAGATGCGATAGCATTTTTGTGGCATTTGAACATTCTGTCTTCCTTTTCTACTTATTTCAGACCTACCAACAATCCACTTTTTCAGTAAGTATTAGTTACCTTCTGTCCAATCTGTCTTGCTTATCAAGTATCTTATTTCTTTTTCATTTAGCTTTATGAGTTTTAGAGAGTGAAGAAATTCAGTGAAATGGGAATACCTGTCCAAAGACTCATGGATATATGAATTTGAGTCTCAGCGGTGTTAATACATCCCTCCTACAATTGTCTCTTTGTGTGTGTGTGCGCGCGCGCGCGCGTGCGCGCGTGTGCGCAAGCGCGTGCCCACTCGTAAGCACGTGTGAACCTTTGTTAGAGTGGGGTTACGTCCCTGTGTGTTTGAAGCAGTATTTATTTCTATGTTGTCAGTTGTTCTCAAGCTTAGGAGTGAAATTTTTTTCCCATTTTTCCCCTCATTGTCTAGAATTTCTTTGACATTTTCTTTTCCTTTGCTTCCTATAACTGATTGTACTCTGAAGTAATCTCCTGAGCTTGAGAAAGTCCTAAATTCTCCCACCGTAATCTATAACAGCGGTCAATAATAACTGGCTGGGAATTGGACTTTTGATTTTACAATGCTGGTGATTGTTATAGAATGAAGGCTTGGGCTGCAGTGGGACTTGAATGTCTTCGTGTATTTTATTTTTAAAAATCTACGAAAAGAGAGGGCCTTAAGCTTTCTGATTTACAAGCATGCCTACTCCACAGGAAGATAGGTGGTTTCGTTACCACGAGAATGTTAAGTTCATTTAAAATATTATTAACAACAACAGAAAAAGAAATCATTAGCAAATTAAGCTTACCCTACAAACATACACTCCAATTTACATAAATGTAAATAATAAAAACTGTTTATGTATTTCTGTGTGATCATATTTACTGTAGTTTAAACTTATTTCCTGATACAGTAAATGATTATTTCGTAGTTTATATCTGAATATCTCATAGAGATTCTTAGATTTTGCAGAAAAAATTATTAACTACAGGAACATAATCAAATTTAAATAAAATATTTGGCTGACATGGTTAGTGTTCTTTTTTCATTATGTTCTTTGAATGTTAGAGTGTATTTTCTAAATTTACATTTCTTGCCTTTATTGAGAGCACTCATAGGGTGCCTGGAACTTTGAGTTCTTTTAATCTTCATGTCTCTGAAAATCCTGCCACTTGGATCTAATAATTAAATAATACTTTGACTTCTACTTTTTCCTCTCACCTTGTTCAAGTTAGAAATGAACTTTCTTGTGTATTAACGATTTTTCTACAAGGGCTAATGAGAATCCCATGGTGATTAATGGAAGGTCTAGTGTATTTTATAAAAACATGTGATATATTGCATTACGTTATATCGTCTCATTTTAGAGCTGTAAGAACCTTTGTGTCCGCTTGTCCCCCTCCTCTCTACTGTTTGGTCTGCAGTTTCTATAACAGAAAGTGTTGCGGAACTCAGTGATTTGGGAAAACTTTACTTAGAGGGATAGTATTTTCAATTCAAAGAATATATTCTATAGTGTATATTTCTTAAGACCTCATTCATGGTTTAGGAAAGCTTTTTTTTTTTTTTTTTTTGAAAAGCTCATCTTTAGCAAGAATTCTCTGTACAAAGTAGCCACAATTCTGATAAAAAAAAAAAAAACAAAACCGAGTGATTTGCATTATTCTCATTTGCTTCCAGCTTATTCTCCCTTTCGCTGTACCACCCAGCCTCCTGTCAGCCACTTCCAAGTGCACTGTCCGACTCCACTCTCCGGAGAACAGTTTATGCTTTGCCTTAACCTTCTCTCAAACACTCCTCTGCCTCATTACCTTAGTTGCCATTTTCCTATCTTTGGGAATATTTTTTCTGCTCCATCCCAACCTCATGGGTCCACTACCCAGGTCCCCTCCTCTTGGCTCACCTGGGGGCCAACAAGCCTCACACTCTGGCTCTCTAGCGCCATCTCCAGGTGGCTTCCAAAATGAACATTTTTCAGCCCTGATTATTTTCTGGCAGTCAGCCAAGGTTTTACAAGCATTATCTCATTTAGTTCTCCCAAAACTTGACTCCCTAATGCTCCAAAGCAAGCTGAATGGGTGGTATCTCTTTTCTATTTGATCTTGAGAAAAACTCTCATCTGTGCTTGACTTTTTAAAAAAAAATATAGCATTTAAATTGTATTTTTATTTGTGGCTCCGCCAATTCTTGATGTACTTATGCAACAGGTTTTTTTTATTTTTCCTTCAAAGCAAAGTCAGTGCTAAAATCGAAATATCCATCATATCTGGTTAATTATGGTATCTTCACTATGGAATATTATGTGTGAGTCAAAAACTGTGCATATTTTTATCTGCTAATGTGGAATAATTTCAAATGACTATTAAATTAAAAATAGTTAAAGCTAGGATAGTGCCATTTTACCAGCAGATCTAAATAAGTAAAAAATAGCAATATTGGTTCTGCATAGAATATTTCTGAACAGTTACATGGAAACTGCTAATATACTTAAGAGTACTGGGGGCCTTTTTAAATTTACGTTGTATTTATTTATGTTTAAGGAGAACAGATGTTGCAGTGATGTTAGAATTATGGACTATTATTGTTTTCTTCTTTTCATAATTCTTTTTTGAAGTGAAAGTGCTATTTTTACATATAATTTCTAGCTAACTTGGATTTTTCTAGTAATTTTTTGATATAGTTTTGTCAAAACAGTAATGGATATGGTTAAATAATGAACTAGTGACTCTAAGAAGTCTTTGAGATAAAGTCAAGTCCTGATGAATGTTGCAATCTTGAATTATTAGATACTTTCTCCTAAAGAAAAGAGGAAGCATAGCAGTGATCACTGTGTGAAAGCACTAAGATCCTCAAATAAAACACTCATTTCAGAGATCTGCACTTAGTTGAGATAAATAATGCTATCACATTTGGAAGAAATGGGTATCAAGTGAATGTATACTACATTTGGGGATGATAGCGGTTTTTCTTTTCTTATGGTGTGGCATAAGACTCATCAGATTCATCCCAGAGAAATTATGCCACACACATCAGTAGGATAAATTGGTGGCCAAGACTGAGTCTATCATTCATGATAAGCGCAAAGTGATTACTTTGGTAAGACTTCTTCTCCTGAAGGCATTTTTTAGGAGATGATTGATAAGACTATTTATGTGCACCGACGTGCTGTCTCAAAGAATAGGAGAGCCCTACTGATTGTTTCAATATTATGACAGTCCTATAAAAATGGGTGAAATCACCTTTGTGCTCATAAAAAGAGGCGGAATTCCTTTGTGATTGTAGCAGAAAATATCTCAAGTATCTGCAGTATCTAAGGAGTGTTTAATTTGTGAAACAAAATATCTATTTCAGTTCAAATGATTTTAAAGACGGCATGCCTGCTCCCTATACTCTGCTTCCACATTGAGATCAACAGTTCTAAGAATTTATGGTTTAAGATGAAAACGTATTGCTGAATTCCATGCAGTCTCCATCTCTCTCTCTCTCTCTCTCTCTCTCTCTCTCTCTCCTATCGCTTCATCACGAAATGAAATTGTTCTCCAAAAGGCGTATTGTGTCCGTCTTTCTGTTCTCAGAGCTCTGTTCTCAGTTCTCTGTGATTACAAATTGATTGTTTGATGGTTTGCACTTGGGCTTTCCGAGTATTGACGTGCAGGTGACAGCTACTTAATTACCAGGGCTTCCTTTTCCTTTCTGATTAATAGACGCTTAATTCAGTTACTGTCCCTCAGTTTCCGGGAATTTATGACCTGCTCAACAACTCTCAGACTAGCCAGTAGCTGTGAGGTGTCCTCGTACAATTAATAATCCGCACGATTTCTACTTCGTCTTGAGTTATTGCTCCTTAATGCTTCTTTCATAATTCAGTGTTTTGCTTTCAAACTCTTATGATAAGGTGCCCCTTCCACCAGAATATAATTGAATTTTTAAAAAATCAGATAAAAATATAAAACCTTAGAAGTCTCTGAAGCTTTATACTTATCTATTATCGGATTTTCAGACAATATTATGTTTCCTGGAGATAGATAGATAGTAGATATATCCCACTGTATCTGTTTATTTAGTATTTATTTTGTGATACAAAGCTGTTAGCTGATTCTTGTATACACTTCCTTGGTTCATACAATTCTTTAAAAACTTAAAAATTTATTTTTATTTTTAATTGAAGTGTAAATATAATATCTTGTAACCTCATATTTTTCCTTTACATTATCTATCTGAAAAGCTACTCATCTTCCCTCTTTCTTCTTCTTCCTGACCTTGCTTGCGTTCAACTATATTTTATTTACCTTTTTTTTTTTTTTTTTTTAAACACCTGGCCTCGTTTGCAAATGTTAGGGACTACAAGGCAGTCAGGTCTCAGGATTGTTCCGGTTTTCATTGATGTAACTACCAGTCACTTTTCCTATGTTGTTTGTGCAAAGGCAGTATATTCTTCATGACTTAAACAACAATCTGTTTTGCATTTCTTTTTTTTTCCCCTTGAAATTTTGATCTATTCAATCAGGTTTCTAATATTGTTGAAGTATACCTTCATAATCGTCATCATTATTATCATATCTATGGCCCATATGATGTGGTTCAGAATTCAAAGAGGCTTAAGACACGGTTAGGAGACATCCCCACCCTGACCGCATCACAGCCGTCTTCTGTGGGCTCTGTTTCCCATTATTAGTGGAATGATTTTCAACCACGTCATTCTCTCCATGCAACTGTACATATAGCTTTGCCAAACTCTGACTTTAATCTTGAGTCCTCATGGAATGTGTCCCCTCATTCATGTTTGTCATAACCT